ATATTATTTCTTAAATGTATTTTCCTTCTAGACATGGCTTTATCTCAGGGATCCTATGAAGTTTTTGTTCCATTTCCCCCATAGCACTGATAATAAAAGCTGCATGATAATAGAGCAAGACCTGTGTGTTTCTATGGTCTCACAACAGCTACCTGTTTTTGTTTTGATTTTCCAGGACTCAGTAATTATTAAACCAACCTCACACTCAGAAAAAGTAATGGAATTTCACACTTTATGTTTACAGATCAAAGGTTAATCTTTAAACCAAGGTTTGTTGTCATTTGTTAAGCCTCTTGTTTTCTTAATATGACTGATTTCTTTCTCTTGCTATTCAAAGGACACACGAGATAATTGATTAGGAAATAGGTTTCTTCTACAACTAGTTTTATATCTTTGTTTAGTCATTCTTACCATCAAGAGCCCTGCAAAAGCCTTGACTCACAGGAATTTTTGCTGCCCCTTTTGTGCTGCCTTGTCTTCACCACAGATGATGCACAATCTGCAGAAATAGCTTCTTAGCTATAAATAGAGCACTTCCCAAGTGTTCATTAAGAACAAAATTCATCACATTCTTGTGAATAAGGTATGCAAATAATATTATATGCTACATTTCACCGTGAAAGAAGCCCTCCCCTGTGTTTACCATTGCTTTTCCTCAAGTCATCTGCAATGAATTGGCTGATTGGTTAGCAATATACTTTACTGATGCTGGGCAGTCTCCCAGGGTTTGTTGGCGAGGTCCAGTTCTTGTTTTATCTACTTGATTAGAAATTTCCTACTTAAGAAAATCATAATGACCACTCTGTCCCCCAGGATTGAGAATTATCTTCAAGTTATCTGAAATCAGGATCTGGATTTCAAAATATCCTCCATTATCTCTCCCTGGACTGCAGTGAGGGTTGGTTGCCTGACTTGCACTGAACTCCAAACTTGTAATGAACCAATGTAAGTGACAGATATCTTATGCGCTAAACTACAGCACATTTGATGTCTGGCAGATCTAGAAACATTTTCTGAAGAAGGTAAAGCCATTAAAGTAACCTTGGTTAGAAATAATGCTAAAACTTGAGGGTCATAAAAATGGTGTTAGGTATCTCATTTAGCAGTAAACTTTTTTCATGGTGATATGAGAAACTGTATGAAACAAATACTGGACTGTATAAAGAAACATTAAAGGTTTGTGAAGTAGCTTTGGTAGTTTGAAGAATGAGGTGAAAAGAGTTTTTTGATTTAACCTGTGGCTGTAATAGATTTCTCATCATAGTTTAAGACATGATCTGTTGTCACCAGTACTTTATAGGGGCTTTCCTAGAAAAAGCTAAGGCCCCAGAAGAGTCTGAAGTGGCCCATTTAAAACCATTCTGTTGTTTTTTGGTTTTTTCCCAGTAATTTGTATAAAGCCAAACTCTGAAAAAATTCTGAAATGTCCGTGTAAAGTTAGTGCTTCTCTCTGCCCCTGTGATCTTACCTCACATGGCCAAGCAGAATCCCATCTCCCAGAGTAGAGGGAGAGGTGGCATTGGCTTGGATGTTTTGTAACTGGTTTATAAAATAAGCTCTAAAGTCACCCTTTGATGAGTGAGAGATTTGAAATAGTCCATATGATTACAGTGCCATTTGCTAGCATGTTCCAAGGAACTGTCACCAGTCTTAGTGAAACATTTTTTTCTCAGTGGTATACACACAGTTCTTCCACTCATCTCTTTGGTAGCTTGTGCTCTTTGTTAATAAATAACAAGGTAATGCTTGGTCATGTAGAATCCTGTCCCCACTGAAATACAAAGCAAAACTCACAGATAATTGAGTGAAACAATCAGCTTGAGAATCTTTTTATTCTATGCTCTCCTTTGCTTGTTTAAATACTCCTAATTTCTGTGTTAGAAATGGACTATCTTTTTTACCAATGCTACAAACAGTACATGGCTTTTCTGTTCATAAACCAAAGTATGTTCTCCTATTTCCAAGGAACATATTGTTGCATTTATTACCCATGACCCATCCATTCATTTCTCAAAGAACAGCATCTCTCATTAAGACCCAAGATGATCAAATGGATTGGGACAAATTTGTATTTATTTTATACTGACAGAGCCTTGGAGATTCAAGACTAGGCCTACATATTCTAATGAAACTTCAGATATACAAAACCTGAAGTTGTACCATGGACTGAAATATAGTTGCTTGCCCATAGCAACTGAAACAGAATACTCTCACCCCTAGAAAAAGGTCCTTCTAAGAATTTGTTTTGTGGAAGTAATTATTTCTGAAAGCTAGAACTGAGAAGAATGGAAGTAGTTTTTAAGATACAACTGCCAGATGTGCTAAGTGGTCGGATAGGAACTACTGGCCATGGGAGATTCCCAAGCCTTGTCATCACTGAGAGCCTTGCTCCCTGTAGTGCCCATTCAGCAATTACTGTGAGATTGATAGTTACAATGAAAATGTAAAAAACAGTAAGATCTTAAAAATCTGGAGGAATGGGTGTCCCAGATTTGTGTCACTGCTAGCAAAAAAGCTTCATCTCATTTGGGAACCTACACAGCATGCTGGTATGGCTGTCTCGGCCACTGGAAGAGGGGTGACCTAAACCTGCATGTTAAGAGAATATTGCAATAATTTTGTTACAAGACAGAAAACTGCAGTGAGCCCTTTCATGCCCATTCTCACAGAGCTGCTTCTCTACATTGTATGTACAGAGGTGCAGATATCTCATAGTCCCAAATGGACACAAGCAGCTTTGCCAAAAGCACTCACACAGCTGTGTCAAGTGTAAAGGTCTACTCAACACTGGCCAGAAGAACTGTAGGTTTGTAAAGCACATACCACTGGAGGATTTGCACTCCTCTCTGACAGTGTCTGTTCTCAGGTCAGTGTGTACAAGAGTGCAGAATGCCATCTTGAAAGAGCAGTTGGAAGAGAAATGTAAAAGGGAAATGGGAAACAGGAAAAGCACAGTTTGAAAATAAACCTGGGAAGGGGCCTCACAGGATTGAGGAACTTTGTGGCTATTGAGGCACTGACTTCACTGGGAATAAGGCTGTGACTGAAGAATAACAGGCCAATGAATGTTGGAAGGGACCCACAAAAGTCTCCAGTCTCACCTCCTGAATCAAGCAGATTGCATTGGAGCAGATTACACAGGGCCTTGCCCAGGCTGGGTTCTGACACCTTTAAGGATGGTGATTCTCTGGGTGCCTCTTTCAATGTCCAGCCATCCCCATGGTAATTTTTTTTTCCTCACATTGAGTAGGAATTTGATATTGTAGCTTGCTTTCTTTATCATACACTAGAGTAGGACTTCCCTGTCAAGTCTATTCTTCTTAAGAACAAATGTAGTTCTCTCATCTCTTCTCATGTGTCCTGTGCTCTGGTCCCCTGACCAGCTTAGTGGCCCTGCATGAATTCACCTCAGTATGTCCTTGTCTGTCTTGTACTAGGAGCCCAAAAGAGGCCACAACCCTGCAGGCATGCTCTCACAAACAGGATGACAAAGAGCCATTTGCCCCAGCCTGCTGGCTGCACTCCTGCTAATACAGTCCAGCCTTTGATTGAGCAGGGTGCACTGCTGGTCTACTCATTTATTTACGTTGAAGTTCTGAGTTAGGACCATTGGGACTTTTTCTGCAAAGTCAGTTTTTAAGGTAGCAAGTTTTTGTCCAGCTTGTCCTGCTGCATGGGCTTTTTCCATCACAGACATGGGGCTTTTCGTCTGACTTCATTCTACTCCCTGGGCTTTCTCCCAGCCCAGTTTTCCAGCCTGTCCAGCAGTGTATTGACTGTTCTCCTCAGTCAGGTGTTGTGTGCAGACTCGCAGAGGGCATAAAGGAACGGTGTGCCAGAGTTCCTTGAAGTAGATAACTTTGTCTCACTGGAAAGTCTTCATGTCTGGTGTGCAGGATGTGATGAGTTGCAAGCACAAACAGCTTCATGTTTTGAGCTTATAAACAACTGGCAAAAATAACTCAAGGTTGCTGCAGGTAGTTCTTTCCTGCAGAGTGAAGTCAGTACCACTTTATCACAAGTCCATCACTGGATAGAGTGTTGGAGGACAAAAATTTCAAAAATTCTACACTTTGGACTGTGTTCCAGGATGGATCACACTGAAGCTGGGTGGGGGGAAATGGTGTATCATACATCTGAGACAGCTCAACCATCTGAGGCAGTCTTTAACTGTAGAATTAGTTTTCACAATCTTAGTATAGAGGAGGAGTTTATTTTCCTTTAGCTGGTCTCTCCATCACATGATTTCCGATCTGATGTCGCAGATGCATGATTTGTGTAACATGTCCAGACTATTCATTTTAGTGTTAATAGTTTCATTTTTGCTATCTGTTGGTTTTATTCACCAAGATTTTAACCCTTGGGATGTTGCCGGAACTGCCACATTGTTCCCCTACTGTATGTTCACAGCCACACTTCTCAGTAGTTTCTTTCCTTTGGTGGAAGATTGTAGGAGGCCAGCAGCAATTCCCAAATCCTTAAAAAGTGATTAGCAATTATTGTTCTCTAAGTGCTTAATAGGGAGATTAAGACAGGCCACCAGGTGTTTACACAATAACACTTGGTAGTGTGGAAATTCAGCTCTCACTGTTACAAGGCATAAAGAGGGTAAATACCTGCCCTTGGAGAAACCAGCAGTTATTTTGATGCTTGTATTACACCTCATTTTCTCCACTAGATTGTGCAGTTTTGTTATTTCTTAACTTTTCATTCCCTGATAGGGATTTGTCTGTGTTTATAGTAGCGGGATGGATCTGTAACCACGAGATGGGTTTCTGTTAAAAGTGTTTTTCTTGCACAATCACTTGGCTGCAAAGGTGCATTTTAAGTCCATCCCTTTGTATCTAACGTGGCATATTTGTATACAGCAACAATGGAAGGGAGCTATGCTTCACACTGAAGGTTTGAAATAAATGATAGTGAAATAGCTTAGGAACAGCACAAATGCTCTTCTGTAACAAATCGTATCATTCACAGTGTCTCTTTTTTTTCTCTTGCAGGAGGTTGGAAGCATTATCGGAAAGGTCAGAAAATAACTTTATATTCATGTCAAACTATTGTATATCATTTCTCTTTTCTTAGCCCAGGCTAATGGGGTTTTTTTATGCTTCTTTAACAGAAAGGTGAGACAGTGAAGAAGATGAGGGAGGAGGTAAGACAAGCTTTGATGTCTTCACTTGCTTCCTTTCCAGCTCAGAAACAGTGAGTTCAGCATGTGCAGACCGATGCTGCCATCAAGTGGGCCGATTGTTCAACATCCCTGTTCTTTGCAAGCACTGGGGTATAAATATGCTGGCCTAAATTAAACATTGTTGTTAATGTAACCTCCTTATCGCTGCAGCAGTCTGGAGTCTTTCATTCCCCTAGCGATGTGCCTGCTGCTGCCTTATCTCAGAACAGCTCACAGCATGGTTCTGTGCATCAGACCCACTGTATCTTTCATTAGCATATCAACATCAGTCTTGCACATGGCTTGGCCTCCTGGTAGAGTTTCCAAAAATCTGAAACCCAATGTTAGACTGACACACGTCAAGTTTGAGGGTAGATACAAGCTTCAGCAGAGCTGGAGCCAGACGTGTATAAGCCAGAGCATCTCTCAGCCATGTCTTGGCAAAGCCTTAGCTTTTCCTCATTTTGCAGCTGTGAGTAGGATATGGGCAGAGTAGACCTGCACACCTGCCATTCCAATCCTTTGAAAAGGCTAAAGACAAATAGGATTAAAACAGGACACTGCATAAATCTCAGCCTCCCCAGTGTCTGCAGGCTTCTTTCCCTGCCTCAGAGCAAGCTGTGCTATCTTCAGAGGAGTGTGCTCAGGTGGAGGCTGCAGACCCACACTGGTCCTGCAAGGCAGCACATCCAACCTGGAGATGCATGTAATTTTTCTGCTTGGAAGCTACCGCTAAAAGTATAAGTCAGAAGAGAAATCCTACTGTTTTAAACTTTAGGAGTGCAGTGTATAGAGGATACCTCAAGGAAAGTCAGTTTGGCTCTAGTAAAGCTGCACTACATTACTGTGTCAGCTGCTTTGTTGTTTTCTACTCTGATAGAAGGTCTGTGGCAGGGAAATGTCAAAGTATTTTAGTAAATAAAATTGCAGACATCCATCTTTAAATATACACAATAAGGATTTCATTGTCAGGCTGACTGAGTTCTGAGCTCCTTTTTTGATGACATGTTTTCACCCATATTTTCACACGTTTGCTAAGACTTAAAGAAAAAATATAGGAAAAAATTTTTGCAGTGTACTAGGTGAACTTAATTAAACACATTTTAGTGTAATTATTAATTATGATCATGAGCATATATCTTTGTATATAAATTGTATGCACAGAAGGGAAGCCATCATTGGAGAGTGCTCCTGACTTCTGAGTAAAACATCTTAGAGAATACCTATGATGCTTGGTCTGTCTTTCAAGATAAATATCAAATGTTCTTCCAATCTTGCACCCCTGCTGTCATGGATCCGTGGTCAGAAGACACTTTATTGTTTTGGGCTTTTTTTTAAATAATGGAATTGTATGCATCTTTGTATCAGCACAGGACTAAGAGGCTGTATCTCCACATGATGAAAACTTGGTCACTCTTTAAATTATTACCTTTTTCAGTACTTCTTTAAAGCAAAATGCAACTTTTATTTTGACTTCCCTGGCAGATGTGGCAGTGTGCATGCCATCTTTATGGTGTGAAATGTAGCTCTGTCTTTGGAGAAATGTCAGAGACAATTCTGTCATTGAGGAAATGTCAGAGACAACTTCATATCTACAGAAAAGTACAGAACTCTCAGTTCTATGCCCAGGTCTGTGGCAGGAAATTTTTTCTATCAGTAGTGTTGAGCCTTGGTTTTTTCCATGCTGTGTGGGGGTGCTGCCATGTGGGGAAGCACAGTCTCTTGCAGTAGAGCAGCAGCACGGGGTGGTTAAGGGCTGGACACAGCACATCAGCAGCTGAGAGGTGACCCTGCAGGCAAAGGGCCAAAGTAACCCAGCTTGTCTCGCACTGGCTTCAGGCCCTGATCCCCAAGAAGGTCAGTGCCTGTGGGTGAGTTGAGACTCCAGAGTCTTGTTAGGCTGCATTCACACATTTCCAGGACTGAAATCTCAGAGAATGCATAGGGTGGCTCTTATGTGAAGCTGATTTGATCATTACTACACTAAAGATCCTCTTAAATATATATTAAATATGTATATAAATTTCTAAATATATAAAACCCCCTGGTAGAGACATTTTCTCTGCACTGCCACAGTGACATAGAGAACCAAGTATACTTGAGAGCGGCCTGACTTCCCTAAGACACTTCTGGTTTTCTGACTCCATCCAACAGGCTCCTTGCCCTATGGACACAGTACTGTTGGTGTTTCCTGTCCTACCACTACTCCTTTAAAGGCATGCTTAGTGCATATTGCCTGGCTGCCTTCACATGAGGCACATCTGCAAGGAGCAAGGCCCCAGCAGATAGGTAGAGAAGCCAAGCCTCACCTTTGGGGCTCCAAACCAGAGAGGTGTATCGCTCCTGGGAAATGCTGGTGCTCCCTGGAGACGACCACCTTCTCTTAAATTCTGCAGCTCCAATCCTACTTAAGGTTAATCCTGAAAGAAGGAAGGAAAAAGTCTTGATTATGCAATTATTTGCAACTTTGAGTTACAGAGGTGCTATTTGCATGCTGCAAAGAAGGCTGCAGAAGTATTTACCCAGACAGAATCCGGCGTCCTGCAGTTTCATGAATTTTTGGAATGTGATCAGTTTATGCTGAAATTATATGATGTTGGGTCTGCAGTTGCAAGGGAGGGAATTAGATGCCTCAAGGTATTCCTTCCCAAACTATATTCCTAATCCTACTTTGTTTGCTCCCTGGGAAGTATAACTTTGAAAAATATTTGTTCCTTTTGACAGAGTGGTGCTCGAATCAATATTTCAGAAGGCACTTGTCCAGAGAGAATTGTGACAATAACAGGCCCAACAGATGCAATTTTTAAAGCTTTTTCTATGATTGCACTAAAATTTGAAGAGGTAAGCAAATAAATTTTTTTTCTCTCTTCAAGTAGAAATACAAACACTGTTTGAATTTTCTCATGTTTGCTTTAATGTTAAATAGGATTTGTTTAATGTTCTATTTAATAGCAATGAAAGTGGTTATATTTTTATAAATGCTTTCGGCAGCAATGCTGAAGAAAAATAATGGGTAAATTTACAAGATGTTTGATCATTTCTTTTGCTTTTTGGAGGCTTCAGGGAAAAGCAATTGCTTCTAGTAATGTGTGCTAATGGTAGGAAAAATGTCTTGGAAAAATTCTATTCCCACTGTGGGTTTGATTTGAAAAGAATAATTGCCTAACTTTTAACTCTGTTTGTATGAATCCAGTTGGTATTGATGCAAATGTTATATATGTCAAAATGAATATATAACTCATTTAACTAGAATTTTTTTTTTTAAAACAAGCTATATGATTACCAATTACTACATTTAAGGCTTGTCCTTTAAAACCAATTAAAGGCACTCAGAGTAAGTAATGCAGGAGTTCAGTTCACTCTACGTGAATGTAAGTGTTCTGTGCAGATCTGTATCTAAATTGCTGAGATTTCCTTCAGTTTCATGGTCCAGCTACAATTAGATATGGTCACCATTTTAAAAGAGAACCTCACAGGAAAGGCAGCAGAGTACGGAACATGAACCCTGGTCACTCTGGAGAGGATTTGACTCCCTTTACTTTTGAAAATCATATGTCTAGTCCTGGCAGCTCTCCTGTCCTCTCTGGAGAGGCAGATGCCCCTGCATGAAGCAGTTCCCCTTCTCCTAATGGAGGAGCTTGCAGACAGGTAGACTGAGTCACCTGCAGCTGAAGCAAAGGGCAGGGTCTCTCCAGGATGGATTGAACCAGAGGGATGTCAATACCTTTCTTAAGAGTTCTCATTTCTCCAAGTCAGCAAGGTTAGTCTCCACATCTCCCCATAGCACAGGGAGATGGTGGAATTGGTGAGAATTGTCAACTTGTGCCTTTGTTTACACATGGCAAATGTTCAAATTTAGAGCAACACAACTTGAAGAGAGCTCCTAAGTCACCAGATGCAGTTATCTTCTAGAATCAGCTGGATGGCTTGGACTTGTAACTTCACAGCATGATCAGAAGCTAGTTAGAATTTTTACTATTCCGGATACTGGGTCCACAACTGCAGGTCTCTGATAATCAGACACCTTCTTTTCGCTCCTCACCTGACTTTATTCATGAACAGCTCATGAAGCTTTGTTTCTATGCCAGTACTGGCCATTAGTTTAGATAATTCTTGCCTTTCCATCCCTGAGGTTTCCCTTTCTAGATATATGTTTAGAAGCTGATTTTATCCACACACACCTTTGCTTTTGCCAGAGAGAGTGATCCAAGCCCAGTCTTTCAGAGGATGTATTCCTCACCCCTCTCATGACTCTAGGTGTCCCTTTCCAGCTTTTTCCAGTTACATTTTATCTTGAATGTCTGTGCTAATTGTGGACAGGTTGCAAATGAAGTTCCACAAAGGTTTATTTAACAGCATTAACAGTCCCCTATCCTACTTACCATGCTGTCATATCCCTGCCACTGCTGGAAATGGCTCACCTCCTCCTAGTTTAATTCTTTGCACACACCCGTGCTTTGCCTGGTGGGTGTCCCCAGCTCCTGCTGAGAAGTTTCCACCTCTTCAGTCTTGGCAAACATTCCTGTCAGGCTCCAGACAAATGACTTTTTTTAATACTGCAGGTGTTAATCCCATTTATATTTCTTCAGTCCTTCATGGGTTTTCAGATCTTCCTGCATGGTATTCCAAACTTCCAGTATGTTGATAAAATGTCTTAGTTTTGTGGCATGGCACATTTTATAAGAATGCTCGGGGAGGTTTTTTCCAGTTATTAATGAAATAATAATGATTTTGAGGTTTAAGCCTGCAGAACCACAAGTAATTCTATCTAACCCAATTTCAAAACCTCTTATTGTCATCTCTTTCTCCTCTTCATCTCCTACCCATCGTGGATCAATCCCTTTTTCTTCTAGTTTAAGAGGTAGCTTGGTGCACAGTGCCATACCCTCCAGTCCAGAGAATCCTGGAGAGAGCAGTGTCTCTGCTCTCTACAGGAAAAACATGTTCCTCATCCTGTAAAATGCTGAGAGAATCATTAGCACAGATAATCCCTGCCAGTTCCCACCAAAATGAGTACCCAGTGGAAATAATGCTGCATGTTTCATTCAAACATCAAACACTGCATGGCATCAGATCCCCAGCCCACCACCCAACACCACGTAGTCTTTGAAAGTGCTGTAGGTAGCAGTAGGCAAAGAAAGCTGAAATTCAGGCACCTGGCTGGATTTTGCACTTATTTGCACTTGCAGGTTTTAGAGGGTAGCCTGGGCTCTTCAAATGAGCATTAGCAAAGGAGTATTGGCAATCTCTTCAGATCAAGTACGGCTCTGAAATAAATATCTGTATTTAGTTTTAACATAGTTGGTTTGTGGTTTATTTAAAAGAACAGCAGTAAAGAAATATGTATATATAATACATTATATATATATATATATATATATATATATATATGTAAAATCAGTTAGGTTTCCTATAAATCTTCCTGCCAATAAAATGAGGTAACTGTAATGCTCTGCAGGCAAAATAAAGTGCTGTTTCAAAAATTACAAATTAGCTAGCTACCAAGTGTTGTTTTTCATGCATATGCTGGAGATTTCTTCAGCATATGAAGATTCAGTCCAGCTCTGGTTATTGCAGCTATGTTGAAACAGAAGAAAAAAGGTGCATGTGTGAGACTGCTGCTTTGAGGGACTGTTTTGGTATTTGTCATGCACACCTACATGAAGACCTTGAACACTTAATTTCCACCCTACAGCTGTATACCTAGAGATAAGCAGGTGTAGGAAGTCCTGGAATGCTTTTGTAATGTTAGTAAAAATTTCAAAATATGTCAGAGAGATAAAAAAATGAGAAAGGTTGGGTTTGTCTTCTGGTTGTTCTGTAGCCTTATATGACTCTGCTTTGACAGCCTTCCTAATGGAAGTTGCTTTTCAAGCAGTCTTATGATGAATTTACAAGCTAAGTAGGTATTTAAATGAATACCTAAAGTGTTCACTGCAGGGCAAAGAGTTGTTAGAAAATGACATTAACCCAGGCAGACCCTGAAACTGCAAGAGGGGACATTTTAGTGCAGTCATTTTTGGACTGGAGGCTGAGACCCAAGAAACGCAGCTGTAACTTCACTGGTGAAGCTGTAACGTCACTCTAGCAGCTCTAGCTTTGCTTGTAAGTCTGAAAGCACATGGTACTTAAGCACTGGAATAACCAGCAGGCACAGCCTGGTAGTCAAACCTTCTCTAGATGAGTAAGAAAAGGAATTTTGGAATCCTTGTTCCTCTGTAAAAATCTGTGAAGCACTTGTTCGGCTCTAGGAAGAAAAAGAGAAAAGGAAGGTGATAAAAGTAGGGTAATACTTTTTTGGCAAACATAAATTCTTGCCAGTACAACTGTGATCAGTCTTTTGGTGGTCATTTCCAAGGGAGGAGCCACCTCACAGAATCCTCTTTGCTGTGGAAATTTGACAGTTTAACACTTCCTTTGAAACCAGAAAAGAAGGATTTTAGTATATTTTTTTTCCCTTGGAAGTGTGGTAGAATTCTGAGCTGCCAGGTTAGTTTGTCTTGGGAAGCCTTATGTGCTATGACCAGGGGATGCCAAGAGCTTCTCCTGGCTCTTCAACACTTCCAGGCTCCCAGTTAGCCTGTCCTGGCTGAGGAGCAGCCCACCAAGCAGGGAGAAAGCCATACAAGGTCCAGCTGTAGTGTCTGACTCAGCCCTGAAGAAATGGATGCAATGTCACAAAAAGTTAGGGGTTAAATAAATAGGAATCTCCCAGTTTGAAAGATGACTGTTCTGTTTATTTTGGATTGCAGTCTCTCACTGACACAGCCACTAAACAGAATATGAATTACTCCTGGCTGGCAGAGGATTTGGTAGATTGGTAGAGGATTTTAGTAGATTTGGTAGCTGTCTTGTCACATGCAGCAATGCCTTGTTCCATTCAAGATTTTATTTTCTTCTCTTTTAAGCTAATTAAGGTCATACCAAGCCTTTTCTTGGATGGAAGAATGCTACCATCAAAACTGGGAACATACCGTAGGAGTCAGTGCTGGTGTCACAGGACTCCCACACTGGTTCAGTGAGATGTGCAGAGTTGCTTGAAGTGCTGAGTAGTTTTGTGGTTGATTGGTTTTTTTATAATTTGGAGTCCTGATTGCACAATACAAGCACTTCTGGTTGGTTGGTTGGTTGGTTGGTTGGTTGGTTGGTTGGTTGGTTGGGTTTTTTGTGGTTTTGGTTTTTTGTTTTTTGTTAAAGTGATAGTCTTTATAAGCATAGGAAATCACATCAGTTCTGTCTGACAGAGCTCTCGTTGCATCGTAAGTGACTTCATAGGAAATGCATGTTTTCTCATCCCTGTCCTAATCTTTGGTAACATTTCTGTGGAGAGTATAATAGCTGTGCTATGCCACCTCATAAATGAGTCTTCTCAGCTCATAGCTAGTGTTAACAAACCTCTCTGAGATTCTCATGAGTTGTTGAGCAGCTGCAGTGCAGCTTGTGGCTTTTTATTTTTTCATCCTAGGTTCCCTCAAAGCATCCCACTGATCATTGGAAAGATAAAATTTATCTTTTCCTCTGTGATGAAATCTTTAGAGGGATTACTTTGTCTTGCCTACTAGATATTGAACAAACAAAATATATTTGAAACAATTTAAACCTTGCAACAAGTTGAAGTGCTTATGGGAATGTGTAATGAAGTCTCATTGGACATTGGGATACATGGGTGTGTTTCATTACCTGGACACAGGCAATTACTGTTCTGCTGAGCTTTTTGTACTTTGGTTACATAACCATGATGGAAAATATTTTAGAAATTGTGTAGTGTACAAATATTTATGAACCTGCTATAAAAGAGGAAATAAATCTAGAAGGTGGCAAAAGAATTATCAAAATCCTCTGATTTTCTTTGCTTCAGATTATTCATGTTCTTTGTCATTCCTTTTTTAATCATTTTCCTTTGAATCCAGTCTGGGAAGAGACATGAAATGTAGAGATGTATTACACAGTATAAATTTTCTAACTGAGGTGGTGGAAAAGAGACCAAAACAGACCGAAACAGGTTTTGGAAGCCTGTGAGTCCAAAAGCCTCTTTGCCTTTTCCATCTGTTTTGGCTGGTTTAGTGGCAGACACCACCTCCTCCTCCTAGTCCTGCCCTCTGGTCCCACAATATGGATCTTGCAATGCCAGACATCCGAAGGGTTCCTCTGGCACAGGCAGCTTCATGCTTACAGTGTAGCACCGGCGGAGCTGTGGTGGGCTTTCCTTACCACAAACACCAGCCACAGCTGGTTGCACACTCCCCAGGTCTCCACAGACAGCCTGGGCATTTGCTGTGAGCCCTTGAGTGCTCACCAGGAGTGACAAATGCCCCGCTAATGCTGGCTGGCACTGTGATTACAGGACATCAACGCTTCGATGACAAACAGCTCGGTGACAAGCAAACCGCCCGTAACACTGCGGCTCGTCGTCCCCGCAAGTCAGTGTGGATCCCTCATAGGAAAAGGAGGTTCCAAAATCAAGGAAATCAGGGAGGTAAGTCTTGGGATGTGTGCTGGGGACACTGGCTAGCTCAGCATCCTGCTGCAGTGTGCCTTGCCAGCATCCTCCACTGCACTTTGCTGGTCACACCAACATGAGCATTTGTCGACTAAACCTGGAAAAGCCTTGGTCTGAGAGAAGCAGGGGGTCCAGCACAGCTACGCTTGTACTTGTCTTGACACTAAAGACCACATATGAAATGGAGAAACAGTTTTACAGTGTATAAAGTCTTTCATGCACAATTGAGCAAAGCAACAGTGACAAATGGCTCTTCAAGTTTGTTTTCCAGCACAGATCCCTGCCCAGCAATACTCAGGGGACCCCATGTCAAAGAGTTGCAGCCATTTCCAAGTTAGTTACCACCCTTACAGTCAGAGAAAAGCCCAAGCAGCACTGGGGATTCCAATCTAATAGACCTACTTTCTAGAAAAGTGTTATTTTCATGCACCTTCTCTGTTTCTCTTTAATGTCACTGGGCCACAGGTGACCTGATTTGATGCATTCCAAACACATGCAGAATTTATTTTTAGTCCAGACTTTAGCTAGAGGTATTCATTCAGTGTGCTAGGAGCCACTTTTTTGTCTAAACAAAAAATGCGAAAAGTACCATACAGTGCCTGCTTTAACTCTTCCATGCATGACTGTTAACAATATAGCCCATTCCAAGCCAAGGATCTGGTGTTTGTAACCACTCATACAAGAAAATCAGGTACATGCACAGTTATATAGAGAAAATCTGAATAGGACCTTTCAGAAAAATGGATTGTTATTCTGGAGGAAGTTGCCATATTCCTTCTAAATTTGAATTCATCCCAACATGGAATGGAGTGTTGAATACTAAGATAATATGTTGATCAATTTTCTTAGTTTGCCTGTATCAAAACAAAAGCTTTTGACAGGCTCTACAAAGCTGAAACTCTGTTTTTTTAATGTAAAATGTGGATCCAAGACAGTAGGTTTTAAGGAGCTTTTAAGTTGATTTCTTAGTTATGTTAAAATAGAAGCAGGCATGAGTGTGAACTGTGTGCTAGTGATTGCTTAGCTCTAGGTTTTACAGTTGTCCACACTTTGGATTTTTAATTAAATATTGGTAACTTCACTCAGAGCACTGTGGGAATGTGCCCAGGACACAGGTTTTTAAGGATGAGATTGGTCTGTTGGCTAAATAAGTGACTGAAGTGATTGTCCTGGTGAGCATAGTTTCAGAAGCAATTGCCTGTAGTCTGGTACAAGGAAGTAAAAGGATAGTTTTTGGCCAAAACCTCCAAGTTTTTGGTATTTTGATAAGGTTAATGTAGCAAGAAGTCACACTGCATATCTTCCTAAGCATAAGGATAATGGACAAAATATTACTTGTTTTTTGCTACTGATGAAAGTCAGAGAATAAATCAGATTAGCACTGGGAGTAAATGCATAAATCACTCTGGTACTTGGCAGTCTTTTGTGCTGGATGCACAGATACCCAGGAATGTACATTAAAAAGCAAATGCCAGGAAAGAGGGGAAAATCAAGGAGCATCCAGCCCAAAATGTGATCTAATTTCATCATCACATAATACACTTAACAGTTGCAAAAGGAGGGGTCTTTTGTGTTCAGTCATGCGCCCAGAAACAGTAGGGTTGCAGTACTATTTTTGAGATAAGATTATGAAAAAAAAGAAAGGAAAAGCACGAGGGATTGATCAAATTGCACTGAAATTCCAGAGTCTGTTATGGGGCATGGGATTGATACTTTGGCCTTAAACAGCACTAGTGAACAGAAGATGAAATCAGTACATTAATCAGTCTTTGGAAAGAAGGATAACACGTGTTGTGTATAACTAGCAGGAAAACAAATTAACTCCTTGCTGACTGACACAAAGGCAATGGTTACTGAAAATACTTGTATTTTAAAGCCCAAATGCTGCATTGCATAACAGTCAGGAATAGATCTTTTGTGCAAAATGTTAAAGAGCTTGGTCAACATCAAATGCCTGTGTTTTTCTCTATTCACTGAAAAGGTCTTCTGTGTTTGTTTAATAATGTCAAGGGTTGTTTGGGCTTCCTTTTTTTTTTAAACTAAAACACACTAGTGCCAAGATCAAATTTAAAAAACAGTGCAAAAAAGAATCCCAAAAGTGGCTCATTACTTTCTTGGTTTCATTAATGAGCTAAAAGTTAATTTAATCAACACTAATTATGATTTAGAAGTGCTTCTGTACCATATAGCATAAGGAAGCCTGAATTTCAACAAGAGACACAAGTCAGCCATCAGTAGATTAAAGAGCCATTTATCAGGAGATTAAAGAGTGACTCATTTGATTAGCTGAGCTTCTTCAATTATTGGGGTTTGTTTCTTCTTATTTTTTTATTATTGAAGAGTACTTCATTTCACCCTTTTCACTTTTTAGTCAGCATTGAAACTGTCAGTCTTTGAGAGGGTTAAAATGCTTCTCATGAAGTTCAGCTCTCAGCTACTGAGGACTAACCTCCCTGGGGTGGGAGTGTTGGCAAGCTGGCTTGAACGACCAAATCCATGTCCAGGGTAGGAGTTTCCATGTGGGCTCTACCACATCCAGCAAAGAAAGGACAAAAAGTTTAGGGGTGCGCCCCCTCTGTTGTCTCAGTGAATGGCTGGAGAGGTGCCATTGCCTGCATGGCAGTGACAGTGTCTTTGCCCTGTCTCTGCTCAAGTCCACAGGAGCCCAGGTGCAGGTGGCAGGGGACATGCTGCCCAACTCGACGGAGCGCGCCGTGACCATATCCGGCACTCCCGACGCCATCATCCAGTGCGTCAAGCAGATCTGCGTGGTGATGCTGGAGGTGAGCTGGTGCCCTGCGTGTCCCTTCTCACTCAGGAGATGCTCAAACCCATTATTAGTAATTGTCAATTGCCATGGGTTCCCCTGAGGTGCTGCTTGCCCTTCCTGAGCCAGGGATTTCCAGAGGCTCTGTTAAACTCTGCCTTTCCTGGTGTTTGAGAGCCTCTTGCAGCAAGATTTAGCAGTCAAAGGCTGTCATGATATTGTTGAACAACAACCACGTCCAGAGCAGAGCTGCAGTCATTCTGAAAGAAACACATTTTGTTCTGATGTAGAATAGGGCAGAAAACGTCCAGTCTTGTTTAAAATAAAAATTATTCTGACCTGCCAGGACTTTTTGCTTCCTTAGGGTCAGGTCATTGCATCAGACCAGTAAGTTTCATGTTGATGGCAATTTTTTAGCCCTTAGATTAAATTATACACAAAATAAATTTATGTAAAAATCTGGGCCTTTTAACCCTTACTGAAAATGCCCATAATTTCCAAGCCATCGACCATGCCCCTGTTTCCTGAAATGCCTTAACATGTGTAATGAAGCTTCATAGCTTCCTCTGACAGTGGCAGTAATGAAACCACAGATGTCACCATTGCCTGTTTTGGCCATGCACTCAGGTCCTCAGCTCCTCCCTTGAAGCCCAGACAGGAGGCCTCTAGCGTGCTTTTGGTCTGATGGGGTGGGGGGCAGGGTGGGCTGGGTGGGTTACCTGCATGCCTTGTTGTCTGAGGTGACCAGTATTTATAAAAAGAGACATTGTTTTAATACAAGCTCTGCTTTGTTTTACATTTTGATCGCTTTGTGTTTTTGTCTGCAGTCCCCACCCAAAGGTGCCACCATCCCCTACCGTCCCAAACCTGCCTCTGCACCTATCATTTTTGCAGGTGGCCAGGTAAGAGCAGACACCATTTTGGCTTCAGCTGGAAACCACACCGTCCTGGCCCAGCCTCAGCCAGCGCCTGTTAGTTTTCAACTTTTACTCTTTCTTGCCTGGTATAGTATGGATGTGCTTTGTCTACTGTGTGTGTTTACTGTTTGCAGGACAGGAGAACACTGCATTGGAAACTTTACACAAAGTTGTGACGACCTGGTATTTTACCAAGATTTAGCATTGACTTCTGTAATTAAGAAGGGTTTTCCCTTCTGCACATTGAGAGGTGTCCAGATCAGGAGCTCATTGAGTGGGGCAGCCCTACTTATTGTAGTGGTTGGGGTTTTTTTTTTCCTTAACTTGCAGCTTCACTAGCAGTATAAGCTGTTTTGTCAATTTTGAGATGATGAAACAGCGGGACATTTCTGCTAATGAAAAGTGTAATTTTTTCCTCATAATTTTCATACTTTTTGGGACCAAATAGTGTTTTTTGCAGTAAGGATTTACACACACATAATTTCCACTGCTTGTAGTCCCTCAGGACCAGGTAGCAATGGAATTCCAAAGTGGCTGCAACTACTTACATGGAAGCGTAGACCTTCCCAGTAATGGTGTGGAACAGCCTGATTGATAACCCAAGAACAGCATTCCTGTTTCTTTTTTATGTAAAGAAGTTTTGATGATTCCTCCTTCACCTTAAGCTGTATCATTCAGGCTGTATCTCATCTGCCTTTAAAAACCCACATGCAATAGGTTCTTCTGTGTCTTTTAGTAATGTCTGAAATGGGTCTGCAGTGTGTGACAGATGCATAGCAGGATTGCTCTGCCGTCATCTATTGCAGGGGGAATGCAGCTTTCACTGAAGAGCCAATGATAAATAGAGCTGATAAATCCCCTAAAAACACCGTGGGAGGGTCACAAGGGGACCTGTGTAGCCACCAAGCTTCAAGCAGTGGTGGAGGAGTGAGATGCTGCAAGCCCTGCCTAACTCAAGGGGAAATTGACCCCATAAACCCAGCCTAGAGGAAGGCAGACATCTCTCTACTCAGGATTAGCATATGTAAAGCCCCTCTGGCAGCAAGGCACCCCCACCCAACCAGATCTTTTCCCCAAGGTGATGCCAAGGTCTCTTTTTAAGCAATTACCCAATTACCTGCACAGTGGAACACCTGCAGGCAGGGCCCCCCTCCCACTCCATCAGCCCATCCAAGGCCATCACCCTGTCACAGGGTGTGGGCTGATGGCACAGACTGTGTCCCACCTCAGGCAATTTGGAGATCATATGAGAAGCTGGACATGGAGTTCCTGGTGGGGCTGAGTGCCCAAGGTGCTGCTGGCATTGTTGGTGTGATGACCTGTGCCACCACAATCTGCTGGTGTGTAAGGAAGCTCTTGCACAGGAGCACACACCTCCCAAGCAAATGCCAAAATGCTTCTGACAGCCCTTGTCATGAACTGTCTCTGATTTTTTTTTGTCTCAGAGTTTTACTTTCTATTCTCTAATGATTTGTTCTGATGGATATCCAGATTTTTATAATCTGGATGTAGTCGCTTTCATTGTGTTTGAGCCTACTTCTGTTATTTGTTGTCATCAAAATAAGAAATCTGCTTCCTTGGTGATCAAAGCTGAATTGAAATGTAAAATAATGTGCCAGAAACTGGTCTATGACTGAAAGTACAGAATAATTTACTCCATATATGTAAGTTTACACTGCAGTGCTTTCCTTTAAGAAATATGTGTGTATATATATGCAGCAGCCCATTCTATCAGTGTTGTAATTGCCACTGCCTTCAAAGACTGCAAATGATTACTCAAAATCATTGAAACTGTTTGCTAGAGGGTGCTGAGCAGTTCATATAAATAATTGAAAGTATCCTATTTTCAGGTCTAATAGCTCTTGTCATCTTCAGTTTCATCAGTTAAAAAAGTGTTCTCACTTTTCTAATGCAACCTTGTTGATGTGAGAAAGAATGGAAGAGGCAGACACCTTCCGTGTGCTTTGAATTTCTCTGCTCTGACTAAGCAGAATTTTTAAGAAAATGCTTAAGGTGTGTTAAAGTGGAAAGCCACTTTAGCTAGGTTTCATAAGTGGAAATTAATACCAAAAATAAAACTTTATTAGCACTGTTAGTGCCATTCAACCTTTCAGCTAAGCTATCAGAAGTTATTTTTCTATTCTAAATTACATCATTGCTATCTTGAAAGGATTTTGTTTGTTTAACACTTAGTAAAATAAGTGACATTAGCTAAATATAATCTCTAGTTTTCCTTAAGAAGTTGGGGTTCTTCCACTCTAAGTATTGCTTTTAATTCTCTTGTGCTTCTTTGATACTGCATTGCATAACAAAACTAAAAGGAAACTGAACACTGCCCTGCTCTTCTCCTATTGTTATTTAGAATGTGCAGTGGTTAAATTGGACATTTCCACCCTGTGTGCTACACTGGTGGTACTGAGAGGGTGCAGCTTTGCTTTATGTCTGTCACCATTATGATGGTCTAAATTGAGGGAGATGTGCAGACCAGGTCATCCCTGCTGTTGCTTACGTTAGTAGGGAAGTTGCCCTTGACTGTGATGGAAGCAGATCCATAGCCCATGTGCTCAGTGGAACATTACAGGACAGATGGCTCAGCAGCCTCTAATCAGGCTTGAGCTCAGCAAGCCCCAACCCTCAGCCCCAAAAACACGATTCCCCTGACAAAGGGTAAAGCAGATACTGTTTTCTCAAGCTAAATCGATCAAATAACCTTTTGGCAGCCTAAGAAATTAAAACCTTTCTTTCTCATTTTTTTTCTGGGGAAGAAAATTCAAGGCTCATCATGTCCATTCTAGTTTGATAGTTTTCATGGACTACCAAGCAATCAAGTAAACCTGGTCTGAGCACTAAATATTCATTGTTTTTATTATCTCTCCAGTTTTTTTGCTTCCTCCTATGTAGATATGGAAGTATGAGGGAGCAGAATGATGAGGGAAGGGGTGGCTTCTGTTGGTTTGCTGGTGACTTTTTGTGATGGATTCTTGCTGGTTTGCAGACCACTGCTTGGAAAACAGCCGTGTAAAAGATGTTCTCTCAGCTGGGTTTGAAGTACAGCTAAAACCAGAAAAGATGCTTGTGACCCATCACAGAGGCTTAGATACCAAAGCATGGTTTCCAAACCCACTGTTTGCCCACAGTCCCAGCTGTAACCTCCCTGAAGCTGCTGCTAGGCTTGGCTGAGCACACAGCACCCCCACCACCACCACTCCTTCCCACTGAGGTTGTCCTCATTTGGTGAAACAGTTAAAAAAGTTTCGCTTGCTTGAATACACGTTTTCTTTAGACCCACTGATGACGGTGATCACTTGTTTTTGTGGAATAGAACCTTTCTTAGTGATATACAATTCATCAGTGATGCCCATCCCCTGTAGATGCACATGCATGTTTGCCCATGAGCCTCCCATTGAGCCTGGTACACACAGTTTTCTCCCTGAAAACTGCTCATGTGCATAATGTTTTCCATGTTATGGCCTGGCTTTATAACTAATTTAAAAACGAAATTAAATGTTTCTTCTCCAGAAGGGAAATTCTGCTACAGAAATGTGCATCATGCAGTTGAGACATTAAAGGTTTTAATATCCGAACTCCATTAAATGAATTGTTTTATCATTTGCAGAGGATTCATTACTTTCTAAGAGGCCTTTTGTCAAATAAGCATTTTGCAAACTAAGCTAATCAGCTCTGTTCCTGTTTATAATTCTCCTACTACAAATATTTATGTTATAATTTGTCCTTCTGCTTTCCTGCCTATCTAAGCACAAGCACATTAATTTTTTTCTGACATGCCATTCCTTTCATACATAATAGAAAATCATAAACTCTCTGTAGTTTTTTTTTTTTTTTTTTGTAGGCCACTGCAGAGAGTTGAACAGGACCAGCAGGGGAGACAAAGGGCTGTGCTAACTGGTGCCAGGCATGCCACCATATCCCTCCTCACTCATGTGCTTTTTTTACCCCCACACCTCACCCCGGTGCTGCCAGAAATGATGCCAGAAACTTGCAAGGGACTTACATCCCTTGCACTGCTCTTGTGGTGCAGAGTGGCTGGATATGGAGAGAGGAGATCTAGCTTGTTGTGGAAGACCACCCACTGTGCTGGGGGTCTCCGTGATGCTCCTGTCTCCAAACTGGCCTGCTGGCCCTGTGCCCAGGCACTGCAGGACAGGCTGCCATCAGCACACAGGCTCAGCTGCCCACTGGCACGGCAGCCTGGGCATGAACTCCATGAGATGCCCCATGAGGTATCTGTGGCTGTCAGATGAGGTGTCTCAGAGCTGGTGGGACATGGCCCTGCACACACGTGGCAGTCAGGAGCTGGAGGACAGGGCAGGGCATCCCCTGAGCAGCCCTGTCCCCTCCTCGCTGTGCCTCTGGCTGCTGCGGCATCAGCATCTCCCCAGGTGCCTTGGTGTCACTGGCCACCCCCTGTGCTCCTTGACCCCCTCTGTGTCCTCTGCTCTGCTCCCAGCAGACAGAGCTGGACTAAAGAGAGCTCCTGAGGGCCGAGAGCATCAGGGCTCGGGTGGTGGCTCTTGGGGTTCTCTGCTTGCAGGGGTACATGGGCAGCCTGACAGAGACCTTTCTGTGCCGTGCCAGGGGTTATCAAGCAGCACAAGACAATTAAACCTCACTCAGTGTGGAAAGCAATGCAGGTGGCATTTGCTGGGGGAGGCATGAGAAGCTTTTGTGATGAGAACTGGAATGCTGCTTGTCCCACCTGACTAACCCTGTCTTAACTGTGCTTGTTGTTCCCAGGCGTTCACGATTCAGGGGCAGTATGCCATCCCTCATCCAGACGTGAGTCCAGCACATGTAAATTATTCCCTTTTTGTTCCTCTCCCTCTTATTTGTTCTGGGCAGCATTTGCTTTCTACAGTTAGCAATAAAGATATGGCCTAAGGACACCTTTCCTGACCAACATGGTCTATAGCCAAGTGTTAGCCCAGCTGCATCTCTTACCTTGTGTAATAATTGCTAGAAAGTACAATGGCCCAGGAACAAATGACAGTTATCTTGGTCTTTTTGCATGTGATATATTTGAGTTCTTTTAATATGTAATTCTACAGTAATTAGTTAATATTAACAATAGCCATTACATGTAATAACAGTAGAGATGTCATTTATAACCAGTTTGTTTTGGGTTTTTTTTCTCTATGGTAGATTAGAATGAATGATTAAACCTTTTATTTTTCAATATAATTTTAATTAATCCAGTTTTAGAACACGTAAGATGGTTTCTCTGCTCTGAAATAATTCCATTTGATTGGTTAGTTCTAATTTCCCATCCTGCCCTGCAGTTGACCAAGCTTCACCAGTTGGCTATGCAGCATCCCCCCTTTACTCCCCTTGGGCAGACCACCCCTGGTTTCCCTGGTACGTACCCATGACCCCCTGGGGATGTCCTTCTTCTTAACAGCTTTGTTTCCCGTGGTCATTACATCATTTTAATAATAAATGTGGTCAATGACCAGCAATCCTTCTGTTTTTACACATTAATCTCTCTTCTTCCCTCCCGTACCTCTGTTACCGTTCCTTTCATCATTACTAAAACGTGCTTTGTTTGTTACTTTTATTAATCACAACTGCTTCATTTGTGCCCTTGGCTAAAAGCCCTGAGTTTCTTCTGTTCAGTCCTTGCAAAGTTATTGTGACCATACAGTATGTACCAGTTGGTTCTGAGGGAAGTGTCTGGGTGTGCTTCTTGTCCATGCTTTGGTGGCATGGATCAGAGAGAAGCAAACATGGGAAAACAGTTTGTGCTCATGGCACAGAAACACCAACTAAAGAAACCATGGCATGCTGAAAGTTGAGTTCTCGTAGAGCCAAATGTCTTGAGAGCATCTGCAATCATCACTGCTGGGACAAGTGCCTCACTTCCTACTAGATAACTCAGATATAGCTACAAAATGCCATGGAAATTTAGTTAAGGACTTAAAATTTGCTCCCTCCTTAATAAAGCTGAGGCTGAATTATTGATTGAAGAGTGAGATAAGCCTGCAAATGAACATTTATACTGTGCTTCACAACATACATGCTTGGCATCTAAAAACTTCACAGAAGTGCATCTGTACTGGTACATGCTTTGTATGGCAAATAACATTTTATCACATACATCACAAATTCTCTGAGCAACTTGACTACTCGATACTCAGTGTGAAACAAGCTTGCGCAATTCATAATTGAATATAAACAAATAAAATTAGTCACTTTATTTATTTTTGTATATTCTAGTTAGAAATTACTATTTTGGCATATCTTTACAGATAATACAATAAACACCAATAAAAGAGAAAATAAGATAAAGATTCATGACATCAAAACATACTTTTGTTTCTTTGTGATATATCTGATAAAATACCTACAAGTAATACTAAATGGCCTTTCCTAGCTTTGTGTTTTCCTTATTCTTGTCATTAACATCCTGCTCCTTAATCTTTTCCTGGATATATTTGTGAGATGTACGTTTCTGTAATGTTACTGTATGTTAGAACAGTAATCCATTTTTCCTGAGCATTTTCCTTTTGTCCACCCAATTTACAAACAAATGTATGTAGCTTAGAGTACTTTGTCCATTGCCCTTCCAAAATTACCCTTCCCAACATTTCTTTAGCAACTAATCCCACATATAATTTCCAGATTTTCTTAGGTTAATTTCTTTGTCCTTATTTTAATTTTTTTTGTTATTTTTCATGAACATGTACTCTGTTCAGCTAATTGTTCATTTGACATCCACTTTAATTTTCCATATTCTAGAATTCCTAGTGAACAGGTCCAATTTCAGCCATACATTAATTTCTCAATTGATGTGTTTAGAACAAGATTTGGAGACTTGTTTTTAGAGGAAACCCTTCATTTTCTAGAAGCTTTTTGTGATGACTCTCTGGAATCTCATGTGACATTTGTTTCTTTGATGGGTTAAAGGTTAATTAAAATAAGACTAATTTAAAATTAGCCCAGCCCTCTGAGTTTTGCATCCTTTGCTTTCTTTTCTGTTTCACTATCAGTTCTCTATTTTTCTTTGCTCCTTTATTTTCTCTTTTTTTTTCCCTCTCCTTTCTGTATGTTTCCTTCTTTAAAATTTCATTTGTTGTGTCTTGCCCTTCTTGCAAACAGCTGGCGTAACATTTTCCCTCTGTCCCCTGAATAGGACTGGATGCCACTACTCCAACCAGTTCCCATGAACTTACAATTCCCAATGATGTAAGTGGACCAATAGTCCGTATCTCTTTCTCTTCTCTCGCTCCTCTGCCGCCAGAGGGGACACCTCTGACCTTGGCTGATGTGCAAACACCAGCCCCAGGATAGACTGTGCAGCACTCAGCCTGTGGGGAGGGGCCTGAGGGGCTGCAGAAGTGCTGGATGGCAGGGCAGGAGTGGCTGTCCCCTCTTGTGCCCCTTGGTGACAGTGCCACAGGGCTGCACTAGCTTCAGGAAAGCCTGGGCTCCCAAAATTCATCTCTCAGGTGGCACTGGCACGGGTGGTCTCAGCAGAGGGGCCAAAGGGGCTGGAACAATGTGCAGCCCTGTGTGTTGGGCTGGAGTCCTCCATGGCCTTCTCCACTGAACCACACATTTACCCAAGATGGCATTTTCCCTGAGCCAGAAAGCTGCTTTGGAAATGTAAAGGTGCAGTATAAGGGTTTATTTAAAAAACAAGGGCTAGGAACATTCCTGCTCCAGCAGCTCTGGGTTGGTTGTGATCAACAGGGCCAGTGTCCATGAGCAACATGGTGCTGAATCTTAAAACAGTTCAAAATGCCCATATGATAAGCAGGGCATCACATAAAAATGCCTTCCCCTTTAATTTGATTTCATTGCAGACAGAGTTGGGGTCCTTTTTTGCATTTTCATTACAAATGAGTCACTGGGAAAATGGAAGTATTCCCCTCCAGTAAAAAAAGCTTTGAAGCATGGGTGGGATCACAAATAGCAATTATATTACTTAAGAGATATGTGCAATATTGTGCAAGCCCTATTAAACTCAGTGGCAATGATTTACAGTAAGAAAAAGATCCAGAACCACAAAGTGGAGGTGTGAGTGCTGTGATTCATTAAACTTTCTGTTACGTAAAAAATTCCCTGCTGATTTATCAGTTCCTGCTTCACAACCAAATTCATACTAAGTTGAGAATTTTTTAGGAGCACCTTCTTTATCCTTACAGCACAAGTTTCATAATTTCCATTTCAGACAAATGTTGTTCTTGCCATCAGAGTTGTAAATCCAAGGTCACTCTTCTGACTTATCTTCTTTTGGAGTTCATGGCAGAAAAAGGGAGGGAGAAAGTTGGCCCTGGGTCCTGTAGTGCCATACAAAATTTTTTTAAACCATCAGTTTCTCATCCATGAGGTGTGAAATGCCCAGCTCAGCACTGTCCATGAACAGCAAACACGAATCTGCCTGATGATTCTCATAGAAGGTTTTTATGGCTACACAGTGGATGTCTTGCTGTTGCTGCTAAAGGAGCAAAGCCAAGGCTAAAATGGGGTCAGGCTTAGGAAGAGCCTGCAGGAGCTCTCCAAGTGGTGAGCAGAATTCTGATGTGTGTATGGTGTCAAGGAGTGCGTTAGAGGACCAGGTCACTGCTGCCACCTGAGCCCTGTGTGCCCCTCTGTGTGTGTGTGCGTGCCCAGGGCTGCAGAGCAGAGGGGAGAACTGGCTCTTGTCCTGTCAGGTAGCAGGAGCTGCTTGGGAATTTCACAGGTGCCTTCCCTGGGGTCTCCCAGTGTGGCCATGCATACTGTGCCCCATCACAGCTGCACTAGGGCTGCTCTCCAGGCAGCCCAATGCCAAAAATGTTTTTCTTTTTGTCAGCAGTGGTGTGACCAGCAGGACCAGGGCAGTGAATGTCCCCCTGTGCTTGGCTCTGGTGAAGGCACATCTCAAATGCTGTGTTCAGTTTTAGACTCCACAGTTCAGGAAAGACACGGTTCAGAAATTGAGGTGCTGGAGCAAGTCCAGAGAAGGGCAATGAAACTCGTGAAGGGTCTGAGCACAAGTCCCATGAGGAGCTGCTGATGGAGCTGGGGTTGTTCAGCCTGAAGAGAGGAGGCTCAGAAGGGACCTGATTGTTCTCTGTAACTACTTGAAAGGAGACTGTAGGTGGGTGGAGGTTGTTCTCTTCTCCCAAGTGGATGATAGGAAAAGAGGAAGTGGTCTTAGGATGCTGTACCAGAGGAGGTTTAGACTGGATATTAGGAGAAATGTCTTCACTGGAAGGATGGTCAGACATTGGAACGGGCAGCTCAGGGAAGTGGTGGAATCACCATCCCTGGAAGTGTTCAAAAGACCATCTGAAAGTGTTCAAATGGACATTGTGGATGTGGCACTTGAGGACTTGGTTTAGGGATGAAATGATGGTGCTGGGTTAATCACTGGGCTCCGTGATGTTAGAGGTGATGTACAGCCTTAATGATTCAAAGAGAAATGAGGATATGAGGGAGACAGAGAGAAATGAGCAGGGTGGGAAGGCACAGGCACCATCAGTCAGATGCTGTGTGTGGAGGGAGGTCAGGGTGGGAGAGGCAGCAGCAGCTGTGCACAAAGCCTGCGTGGGCAATTCGACTTTGCTTTCCCAATAAGCATCTCTTGGTGCCAGTTTTGATGGACAGGCTGTCAGCATGGCACAGGGATTGTTTTTCTGGCTGAAGGTGAAGGAAGCTGTAGGCCCTGGCACAGAGCTGCAGTGCAGCCCTGAAGCTGCCTGGGGTTTGTCCCCTGCCTGCTCCAGCTCCAGGGATCCCCTGTGCTGCACGAGTTCCACATCTTTATTATCATTGTGCTTGTCTGTGTAAAAGTCCAGCACACATGAGAACACCATGAGACCTGCAAATACCCACATGCTCTGCTGCTACCAGAGAAATCAGTGTATAGCTACATGTGCTATACACTTTTATATATTTTTATATATTTTATATACTTTTATATATTTTTAAAGACCAAGATAATGGTAAGCATACCTCAGTAAGAACACAATTGAGCAAAATCAGATATAAAGACAATGAAGAGATGGGAGTTTAGCCTAGTGCACAGCAAATAGATACAAATACCCTTTTACAATCACTTCATATTAAAATAAATTTTCCTCATTCCCTCTGGCATTTGGGCAGTGACAGAAATTTATTTTTCTGTTATTAATAATTTCTGTAAAAACATCATGCTGCTTTCTTCATGCAATATGCTGGCAATTGCAATAAACCTGTTGCTCAATAACAAAGAGATGCTGGAGAACAAAAAAAGTTTACAGAAAGTTATTTTTCACATGCTAAAAGCTGAGGCTTCCCCTCCAAATAATGAATTCAGAAGATTTGCTTTTCTAGGTTTTTTCATAACTTCTGTGTAACTCCAAAAAGAGAACAAAGAGGACACTTCTCCCAGTCCATCTCAGAAGTCACCTTGGTCTTTATAGTATCTCATTTTGATCATCAAAGCCTCTTACAGGGGCATTTGATTGCATTTCTTTCCTTGCTGGGATCTTGTCTGTCCTTCCACTACTGCCCAAGTTATACAGCATAAGTGTGTTTCACCTAAATCCCAGAATAAAGTGGCATAAACAAGTCCTTAAAAGAAAGAAGAGATGACACCCTTGGGTGTAGATAATAGATGTCTTAAGATTTCATAAGTCAGTACCCCAAAACATCCATTGGGAGTAAATACTAGACCAATAATAATTTAAAAATCCATCTCATAAAAATTAGGCACATTTTGCATATATATGGGAGAGGCAGGGACAAGCAACAGGAAAGCAACTTACCCCACAGAAAGCACCAAGAACATTTTAGGGCAGCTGTAAATCTGATCACTATGCCATAGAAACAGAAGTGTCAATCCATCCAAGATGGATATGGCAGACTTGAAGAATTGCCTTTATTTCCCTGTGGTACCTCCAATACTTCCCTGCCAATGAGCAGGACCCACATGTGCAAAATGTTCTCAGAGCAGCCCACATTTTCTCAGTTTTCTATATGGCTTATTGCAAAGTCTGTGCAATTATTATGGTCCAGATTTTGCATTGTTGTGGCAAAGAAATTTCTTAATATTATTATTGTATTGTTCTTAAGCGATACAGAGTATTTAGGCATCTTTTTCCAGCCCTGCTGCAAGTTTGTAAAGAACTATAATCTGCCTCAGGAGATATTTCCCCCTATAGAGTACTCTGCCCCAGACCTTCTAGTTAAAAAACAGAAAACAGACCAACCTAAACCTGAAACTAAGAGTTTCAGCCTGTATCTTTCTGAAAAGAGATTGAAGAGTCTCATTCCTGATGAGCACCTGCTTGCTTAGCTAATGCAGAGGCTTTGCCAAAGCAAATGGACTGGCTGTGTTGGCAGCAGGGAACCGGGGGGATCCCTGAGTACCTGTGGTCAAGCCCTCTGCTCCTGACAGCAGATACCAAGTTACAGAGGCTAATTCTTGGCCCTTTTTACAAGCACTGCATTATAAGAAAGGAAACTGATTCTTTTTCACCAGTGTTTAAAATCTTCATGTCATTTCCTGTGGCAGTGAATGCTCTGCAGCATTGAACTCTTTCATTAGACTCTGTCAGTGCTTTAGCATTACAGGAAAATTTGTTTATTTATTTTTTTATATATATATATGTAAAGCATTTATATTTAGCATTATGGGGAAAATAAAATGATGGAAGAGAGGTAGCTGAACCACAGATGCCATAGCATATTGGGAGAAACCATCAGCATCAGTAATTTGGAGGTGAGACAAATTATAGGAGACCTTCAAATCCCACCCTTTAAGAGTCCAGACTCCTGACTCAGTTCTGTTCCCATTCGTGGCAGCAGAACTTTATATCAAAGAACAGAGTAAAGCTAGAAAAAGGCAAAAAGCAGAATGCATGCTTTAGGGTTGGTTTGTTTGAAGTTTTTTTTGGCACAAGCAGAAATGAGGTGTGTTGAGTTTGGGGAAGACAGACAGAGGTGGTGTAGAGAAAGTGGAAAGGGAACCATTTTTACTTGATGCTCACAGATCAAGAAGGAGGGTACACCAGCTGAAACTTTCAGGTGTAAACACAAATGCTGATACTTAACACATCAGCAAGCTCTGGAGGTCACTGCCATGGTCCTTGGACAGCAAAAGGAGACACAGGTTCAAAAAGAAGTTGTCAGGCAAATGGACTGTGCATAAAGGCAGAGATAGCAGCTACTGATCAGGTGGTCTGTAAGCCTTAGGAGGGGATTTGAAATACCAGCAGAAATTTTATTTTATACCTCACACTGGTTTTACCTTTTTTTTTTCTTGTAAGGATGGGTTACTGCCACAGTCAGAGACAGACTACTGGGCTTGATGCACATCTACGTGAGCTCTTCCACCCAAGTCTTGAGGGAGTCAAAATATCGATGCATGTACATGTACATACGTGTGTGTGTGTATGTACATATGTGTCTATTATAGATATTTAAAATACAAGTATTCCCAGAGTGGGTGAATTTCAGAGTGGGTCAGGTTGCAGGGACCACAGGGCCATCTGGCCCAACCTCCCTGCTCCAGCAGGGTCATCTTAGAGCACATGGCACAGGATTGTGTCCAGATGGTTCATGAACATCTTCAGTGAGGGAGACTCCACAACCTCTCTGGACAACCTGCCCCAGTTCTTGGTCACCCACACAGTGAAAAAGTTCTTCCTCACATCCAGGTGGAACTTCCTGTGCATCAGTTTTTGCCCATTGATTGCCTCTTGTCGTATTGTTTGGCACCACCAAGAAAAGCCTGGATCCACCCTCTTGGCACCCTCCCTTCAGATTCTTATATTCATGAGGTCTGCTCTCAGTTCTCTTCTTGAGGCTGAACAGGCTGAGTTCCCTCAGCCTTTCCTCATAAGAGAGGTGCTTCAGTCTTTTACTCATCTTTGTGGCCCTGCACTGGACCTGCTCCAGGAACTCTGTGTCTCTCTTGTCCAGAGTAGCCCAGAACTGGACACAGCACTCCAGACTTGGCCTCGCCAGGGCTGAGTAGAGGGGCAGGATGACTTCCCTTGATCTGGGCAGTGTTTTTTATTCCTAATGCTCCCCAGGATCTCATTGTCCTTCTTGGCCCCAAGAGTACACTGCTGGGTCATGGACAGCTTGTTGTCCACCAAGACCCCCAGGTCCTTCACCACAGAGCTGCTTTCCAGCAGGTCAGCCCCCACATTTGTTAAATTTCAGACAGTTCCTCTCTGCCCATCTCCACCCTGTTGAGGTCCCTCTGAAGGGCTGCCCAGCCCCCTGGGGTATTGCCCAATCCTCCCAGCTCTGTGTCATCAGGGACCTTGCTGAGCAGGCCTCTGCCCCTTCCTCTGAGTCGTTTATTAACACATTAACACTGGCTCCAGTACTGAACTCGGGGGACACCACAAGTGACAGGCCTCCAACAGGACCCTGTGCCACTGCTGATTACATTTATTTGTTCGTCCAGTATTAGACTACAGTGTGTAGTAGGCTTGGTATAGTCTGCGGTAGGTTTGGTTCCTCTCCCAAAGGCACCAGAGGTGTTTGGTTGGATGCAGTTTGACAATTCCATCTCAGAGCAAGGCATCTCAGGCACGTCTCTTTATATAAAACAAAATGCCCATAACTAAATGTCCCTTGAACTTCTTCTAGAACACATCAGCTCTTGAATACTCAGATACTGCTCAAATTTCAGTGTAATAACATGTAATGAGAAAGGCACCCCAGAGAGAGCCCAAGCCCCCAGCACTGCTACCCTTCTCACATGGCAGATGAGATGGAGTTGTGTGTTCTGCACGAGCTGCAGACCATGTCACAGCTTGCAGAGGGTGTCCAAACATCCTGTTGTCACAACAATGAAGAGTGACTTTGGAGAGCTTCAGGCCAAAGGTTATCAAACCTCTCTTCCAGACACCAGCATCACCAGTGTCCTTGACCAGTGTGGACTGAATCCTCACTACTCAACTCAAACTCAGCTAGGAGAATGGCACATTCTTTGCACTGACCCACCTGGGTGACAGTCTGAGCATCACTGAGGACCCCCAGCATGTACAAGTGGCAGCTTGCTGAGTGACCCCAGCAGGTGCCTGCTCTGCTGCTCTCCTCTCCTGCCCCAGCTTCACTCCCTGCAGACCACGGAGGCCAGTGAGACTGAGGCATCAGAAGCAGAGGCTTAGGGGTCCCTGTGCTGCCCACAGACAGCCAGTGCAGGCACACTGGTGTGCACACAGACAGGCCAGAGGCTTCCTGGTGAAGCACACACCACTCCTCTGCACTGGCATGTAGTCACACACTCAGAGAGATTCCTTGGGATGAGGACAGGGAGCTCAGCAAGTCCCTCCTGTTGTAGCAGGATGGGAAATCCTGTGTGCATTTCCTGCCACCCCATTTTTCCCCTCTCGTGGTTGCTCCTCTTGTGCTTGTCAAAACTTGGTCTTTGTTTCAGCCACCTGGGTATCCACTTTGGCTTTCTGTTTGTCCCTGAGTGTGAAGCAAGGATTGCATTGGGAGGTTTTTCTTCTCTTGATAAAACATGTGAACAACTGTGAATCTCTTTCTGGCCAGTTACTCCAAGGGCTTCAGTACCACAAAGGGTATTCAACACATCAGGGCCTGAAGCAGCAGGGAGAGTGGCAGTCTCTGTATCCTGGCATATCCTTCTGCAAAACTGGCAACATTATCCCAGCATCAACACACCGGCAGATCAAAGTTTCCATTTTCTACTCACTCTGGCCAGGGCTGAGCTTCTCGGGGCCCATCCTTCCTTAACACAGAACAAAACTCCCCTCCTCACCCTTACAGAAACCAAAACATCTCAGCATCAGCTGCTGGCTCCGTGCCCACTTGCTCCTAGGGGCTCCCCATGCTGGAGCAGAAACACCCTGGGACACATATGCACACACACACAGAGCTCAGGCTCAGTTCTGTTCACAAAACAAGAGTTTTGGTAAGTTTCTCTAAAGGAAGGCAGATAAATTTCAGTATCTTCCTATGCCTGCTTCTGCCTGCAGTCAGCTGTAAATCCCACTGACTTTAATGCACACTACCTGTCCAAGCAAGAGCCACGTGTATCCAGGGAGATGTAGGGCTGTCAGTGCTCTGGAAAGGTGCAGAGCCACACACAGCAGCTCTGGATGGTCAGCCTGGCTTCCAGCTGCTGCTCTTGGCTTGCTGCTGCCACTGGCAAGTGGTTTGGTTTTCTCAGCATCACAGCATGCTGCCATTTTCTACCATGGAGACAGTGAAATAGTCTTGAAACACCAAAGATGCTGACTTAACCATGTAGCAGCAAAACTGGATCTAGAGGCATATGACCATAGAGACCATAGACTGCACTAGAGATTCCTTCCAAACAGCAGAGCAAGAATCTTTTTGTTTAGCTACTGAGCTGCTCCTAACCATTTTTTTAGCAATACTACAGATTGCAGTTAAGTGATTTTTGCTTGTGTCTGTGGCACTAATCTCAGTCTTTGTCCCGCTCCAGTTAATAGGCTGCATTATTGGCAGACAAGGCAGTAAGATAAATGAAATCAGGCAGATGTCAGGAGCGCAGATCAAGATTGCTAATGCCACAGAAGGCTCCGCAGAACGACAAGTTACAATCACAGGATCCCCTGCAAACATCAGCTTAGCACAGTACCTCATTAATGCAAGGTAAGTTGGCTTTGTAAGTGATCATGCTTCTGCGAGATTGCTCTGTCTGCTCTCCAGCAAATGTCTGTCCTGGGTAGATCCAGAAAGTTGCTTTGCAGTGTCCATTTTGCATAGTATTACTCAGTTCCTAATGGTTTGTAAAGCCTGTATCATTAGAACCTGGGTTTGCTGTTGGCTTACATGAAAAGGAGCTTAATCCGGTGCAATTCCAGCTACATGTTGAATGAAAAAGCTGCAAAATCTGAATACTCATATTATCATCCACCTAAAATATCAGTGGATAAATTAAATTAAATGAAAATCATAAATTGTTTAGAGGAAAAACACTTTTCACAGACCCATTTTACTATCCTGAATGGTAAATATAGTGAAACAGATTGCACAATAGATTTAATTTACCAAGTGGAAATTGCCATTCAGAGTTGATAAACTGACATTAGGTTGCTGAAGAGGCACAGGATTTACTTCTTCAGAAACAGCACCACAAATCTGTAAGAAGCGTTCCCTAATGAGACAGGGTGAGACTATCTGCTTCTCCACTTCCTGGTCCCAGAATTAATGAAAGCACTCGCTGTTTACCTAAGCCATGGTGATGGCTTAGGTCTCTTAACAGTTTTTATATGATTATTTAGAAAAATATTAAAATTGATCCCACTTTTATTTGCAATTATGTAGAGAAGAAAGTGCAATGGATATAGTGCTGTCTCATAGATCTCCTTGTAAATGCTGGACTGAAGTAACATATGGTGGGGGAGGGGAATAGCTATGTATTTTATGGCTTTTTTTTATTTTATTTTATTTCCCCCCCCCCCACAAAATTACTGTGATATGAATCAAGCTTTGTGTTTAACTATGTTTGCTGTTAAGGTAGTACAAAGCACGTGATTTATGTGGGAGTTGCAGTCACAGCAGGTCTGTGGCTTCCTGTGGTCCAGCCTCCTCTCCATCCCAGTTTTGTAGAGCACCACTGCAATGGCTGGAGTGGAGGAATGGGATGTTTGTGCAGCTCTGTGTTACAGCAGACAAATACACTGCTTTTCACAATTTAGCCTGAAAGCAGCTTCCTAGGAAAAGATTCATGTAGGGGTGGCACTGTGAAAACTAAGATAAACCATTTCCAGAATCTTAAAACAACAACCTACAGCTCTTTTGATTTATATTCTTTGTAGCAAATATAAGTCACTTCCGTAAGCCCTGTAATCAAATAAAAATGTGTTCCCTCCTTTAACCCTTAAGGATATGTTCTTCTCTTGGTGTTCAGGGATTCCCCACACATCGAGACGAGAATAGACCCCTTCATTTTTAGTTGCACAAACACCATATGGCATGCATCTGGATCTCGGAAGATAACAATTTAGGATCTTGAAGACAGCTAAAGCATGCAAATAAAATAATGTACTTATTAATGGAGTTGCAGTGAGCTGCTCACCAGAGACAGAAACTCTAGTGAACAAAACTGTTTGACTCATTTTAGAAAAATCTGTGAACTCTCACACTTCTGTTGATCACTGTTTAATGGTTCTTGTGGTGGAATGGGATCTATATGAGGTCTTTAACATACTTTCGTAAAGAAGAAAACTCCTCAGCAGTCACATACCACGGATCTCTATCTATACCCGGTGAAACCAGAAACAAAGTATTCTGCTCCTGTTAAATTTCTAGATAGAAGTCATATGTTACCATCATCTACAATAAACCATCATATATTACTATGTACCATGTGTTGGAACTGTATTTAGATGAAGTGACTTCATTTGTAAATGAAGACTCCTAAAGTAATGTGTACTAAATTAAGCTGTAAGGTAACATAGGCAATTAAGGTGGCTTTTTCATTTTAAAAAGTGACACTGTTCCAGACCTGTCCTTTCACATGAGACATTGCTGTCCAGCCGGGTGCCACCACAGCAGCAGTGTGAGTTCAGTCGCACTGGAGGAGGGCTGAGCAGCTGAGAGGCAGGCGGGAGCTTTGCTCTAGTGAGGTTTAGGGGCTGGGGCAGGACAGAGGTGCAGAGCCAGGCTGCTGCTGCTGCTGCTGCTGCCTCTGTGTGCTGGGAGCCACCTCCTAAACCTGCCACAGGTGATCCTGTCTCTTTTAAAGACAGTGGCATAAAACAGCTTTGGGAAGAGATGAATACAGCACCCAGACTGCCCAAAGCGTGGTCTGCTATGTGAAAATAATAATTACAAGAAATAACAGCTATATAAGCATTCAGCATAAGGTAGATCTTTTCTCCCCTGCAAGATCTATTGTTTGTGGGAATTAGTTTCCAGGGCCAGTATTTCTGCATAAACCCATGTCTTTCAGCAACATAAGATGTAAAAAACCAAAATTATCTATCCACAGTATTCCTGAAACATATTGTGTGTATCTATCTATGGAGCTATCCTCCAACCAAAGTTGCTGTCTATAGAATAATTTATCAGCTTGCTTTAAGACTTTTATTGCAATCTGGTGTTGGATATGTACATAGTATATTCTAAATTATAGATATATAAATATATTGAAATCTTATCAAGACAGAGATTTAAATCTTATAAAGTATTGGTTTGATTCTGTATTGCTTACCCGAGCGCTGGCCTCTGTATGAATAGAGCGTGTCTTAGCTTGTTTGCAGTTGAAATGTCTTTTTTTCTGTAAAGCCTTCTGTCTCTTTAACTGGTCTCCACTGTAGTAACAAGATTTTCATTACCCAATTCCATCTTCTTGCTTTTATTAAGATTGAACTGCAGTTTAGTTTTTCTGTGTACTATCTGGCTTTGGATTATAAATGAATTTAGCCAGCAGCACTTGCTCCTTGTTGAAGGGCAGTTTCCTGAAGGTATTTTTTTTAAGAGAAGTTCATTCACAGACCCAACAGGACTGCCAAAGCCACACCTGCTCTCTTCTCTTCACCAGTTTCAGGTAATGCAGGATGTGGCCTTCAGTGTATATATTTAGAAGGTGCAGGCCTGCAGAGGGACAGTGTAAAATTGTCACTGTGAAATTCTCCATGAAGGCCGCCTCACCCCCCTCATCCCCTTTCATATGCAACGTTGTTGCATCCACAGTTGGTTTGGGAAATTGCCGCTGGTATGGGAGAGATGATAGCTAACCTGATGAACTCCCACCTTGTGAGTTGTCACAAGTAATAGATGGGAAAGAGGGCAAATTACTGCTACAGTAATACCTATGAGATTAAGCCAGAGACAGGGAGTTGGAATGGCTGCTACCAACACCAGCTTTTTGGCCTGTGGGATCTGTTCTCCCTGCTAGTGCAGGAAAAAGCTTAGACTCTAACACCGCCCCGCCCCCCCCCCCCCATATCAGTAAGGATTTTTTTGGTTTTATAAAATGCACAGTAGACAAATTTGGAGTCACTGAAACACAGTCCTGCACTACCTTTCTATGGACCTCCATCCCAGAATAATACTGAGTATTACTAAAAAAATCCAACTGTATAAACTGAGTTTTTCAAAACATACTAAGGTATCACATGTAGTTCCTACACCCCCAAGTTGAGGATGTACAGTGGAGTTGGAGTCTCTGATTGACATAAGCCCCTCTGTGTGAGTAGATGGCAAGCAGCACAAGCGTGCACTTCTCTCTGCTTAGAAAAGCTGAGTTTCTCATCCATGGGGACAGATAAAGTCTTCAGGGTAGGAAAATCAAAACTTCACCTCCCTCAAAGGAGTCTGAATTTCATACACTCTCCCTCCTTCCCTCCCAGCTCCTCACAGATGTGCTCCTTCCAGCTTCCCAGCAAAAGCTGCTGAGGTGTTTCTGCTCCAAGAGCCCTCTTTTCTTTGTGGAGGAGAGAGGAGCTCGGTGCTCAAACATCTCCCTCTCTCCTCCACACTCCTCTCCCTATCTCAGACCCACTTCAGGTGTCCTTCAGACTCACCATCAGCAGCAGTGCTTTGGGAAGCTCTAGTCCAGTGACCCCATTGCCTGTGTATCCTGTAGATCCTTGCATCCTTGCATGAGGCAGGCAGCATGCTGGCCATTGCCTTTCTCTGGCAGTGGATGGCCATGGGGCTGTTACCCTCAAAACTGTTTTTAAGGTGAGAAAAAGAGAAGCCTTTCCAAGCCCTGTGTGGGGTGACCATGTTTCCTTCCATGTAAGCTGCTCTCCGAGCCTGCTTACCCAGCTCCCAACAGGGACCAGCACAAACCCTGTGCTGGGAAGCCTTCCTGAGCCTGATGGGGTGTGGGAAGAAAGCACCAAGTCCTCTGCATGGCCAGCCAGCAGCTTGCTGGCACTTCACTCTGGAAGCAAGGAGCTGCTACAGCTCCTCAGCTCACCTCAGGAGAAAGCCCAGGAGCCTGACAAGTTAGTAATTGCCAAAAAGACAACGCCAAACTGACTAGGAATACACATGCAATCACAGCTAGCAAAGATTTTCTAGCCCATAGTCCTATTTCTATGCTAGGCTGCCACAGCTGCCAGCTGGTCCCCTGCAAAAAGCATCCTGAAATTAGTATTTGTGTCATTTGCCAACCCAAAAGCCAGTGCACAAGCTGCAACAGGCAAATGGGCAAAGGGAGGATTTATCTAGGCAAACATTTTGGCATACGAAGACAACAGTGTGTCCTTGGAATTATTGTATTTTAATGTCTGAAAATGTACAGAAAAGCAAAAGTATATGGGCCAAACTCACCTCGCCTGCTGATGGGTGGAGTTAGATTAAAGTGAGGGTGGTTTGATTCCTACACCCTCCCAAGAGCCCATCACTGCCCTGGGCTTGGAGGTCAGGTCAGTCTGGAAGTTCCTGGTGCTGGTGGGGTCTGTCTGGGGATGTGTCTGTTGTATCCATGTGGTACCTTGTGTGTCAGCTGGAAAGCTTTGTCATGTTCACTGTAACCACTGTGCAGGCTCAGGAAGGATACCACTGCTGTGCAAGCCGGGGTGTTCTTCAGTGTTCCTTTTTACTAATTTACTTATGATTAGATTGCATAAATATTTTGTTGTGGTATTAAAAAAAAAAGTCTGGAGAAAGTATAAAGTGAAGTGAACACACTGGCTAATCTGGTTTGTTTTATATGAAAAATGCACATTGACCTCACAGTGAATGAAATAAAAAACTAACTCACTTAAAAAACAAAAAATCAAAACAACCAAAACTTTATGCCTTAAATGGAAGCAGCAAATTGTTGCTCAGTCTCCTCTCATCCTAGCAAAATGATTAAGTGTACTATTTGTGTCACAAAACTGACAAATTGAAAAAAATTACCAAAACCCCCCGCGTCCCCCTTCAAAAATACCCTAATTTTGAAAAGCAAAATTCACCATACCAGTGCTGGGGAGTAAACTTCATAGTTATTTTAAGTTTTCTTTTAAGTTTCATTTTTCCATCTTTTTACCATTACCTGCATTCCTTAGATTTCTTTTTTTCATATGTAAAATGAACTATCAACACCCCCATACCCTATTCCTTTTTCTTTTTTTCTGTTCTGAAAGAACTTTAGTCTCAGTAATGTTTTCCCATCAAATCATGGAAAACCCTTTTGTTATTTCTCTTCTTTAACACATAACATGTTCCTCCTTTGACCCTCATTTTCCCTTTTTTTCTCTCTCTCCCCTTTCTCCCTCCCACTCGTCTGTCCCCCTCGTCCACCGATCTAATCCTGAATCCTGCCCTTTCGTGGTTGCTGTCCTTCCCTCCCTCCTTCCCTTCCTCCTCCTCCTCCTCCTCCTTCTCCCGGCCCCACCGCCCTGGCTGAACCCTCCCAACCTGTTTGTTCCTCTTCCTCTCTTCGTTTGCAGCTTAGAGATGGCTAAAGTCAGCACCCAGACCGCTTCCGTCACGACCCCTGTTGACCTCAACATGAACCTCTCTCAGTCTGCCACCCCTACCTCCACCCCCACCTCCATGGCCGTGCTGGCGGCCGCCTCCGCCGCCTCCGTCAGTACCCCCCCTCCCCTACCAACTCTGCCAACCACCCACTATGCCGTTCCTGTCTCCAGTCTGCTTGGCATGAAAACTGTCCCACTCCTGGCACTAAATGCCGCGGCCGCCGCGGGGGCCACGGGGAGTTTGTCCGCTTACACTGCCAAAATTCCTTCGACGAGCGGGGTTAAGAAATCTGACCGCCAGAAGTTTGCTCCATATTGAAGGGATGAGACACAATGCAAGCTTTGCCAGCTCTGCCAAGAGTCTGTGGTAGATCCTAGTTATCAAGGAAACAATACGGCATCTTTTATTTTCTGTTCGATTGCTAGTGTTAACTGTTGCCGACTCAAGTCGTCTTCCGCTCTCCATAACACCTAACACCAGGCACCACCTTCCAACTAGTTCCAACAGCCAGCAGGTGCCAGCCCGGGCTCCTTCTCCCCGGATACTGTCCCAGGGCTGGCCCTCAGCAGCCCCACGGCAAGGCAGGGCTGCCCCCAGCCCAGCAAGGGAGATACAGTGAAGAGAAGGGAAAAAACGTAAATGAGGCAAAACGGTGACAGCCGGGTCCTGCTCCGGCAACGCTGCCCGGCATAAAAATACACCTAGATCCATGTGCAGGGATCACTCCAACTGCAGAACAATTCCTCATGGCAAACTGGCATCTGTGATGCATTTTTTCTATTGCCAGCACGTGCAAATCCAGCACTTTTCAGAGCCCCTGCAATGCCCTGTGAAGTGCTGCTGGCCCCCTCAGTCATTCTGCTGCTCCCAAAAGGCCTGGAGACCCCCATTCCCCATCCCAAAATCCTCCTACAAGCAGGAGATGGCAGTTAGGAGGTACCAACTTCAGGTACTTGTGCATACAACACATGAAGCTTTCTGGTCTGAGAAAAACTGCTAAATTAAAATGACTGTAAATCAGTAAGGAAAAAATACCAGGTACCTGTGCCTTTCCACATGATTCTTTTAAAGGGTGCCACCATTTTTCTCCACTTTGGAAAAACGCAATTTTAAGAACTCTGCTTTAGGGAGGGAGGGGGAGAGAGAGAGAGGAAGCTCCTCCTTTTGCAATCAGATGTTTAACATACACTGACACAGTTCTTATTCCTGTATTTCTGAGCAAGTACAAGCCAGATGCCATCACTATCTCATATTTCCTCTCATGTATGCTTTATTCAGCCAAAATGACCATTTTTCATTAGATTTCTCTACAAAATACATCCCTGTTTAACTCCCCACTAATCATGCAGTCAGGTTGTATGGTAATCATGAAAAACATGCAGCATTTTAGAGGTCATTCAAAGGCTACTGCCTGGACAGATCCCATCCCTTTACCAAGCACTTCAGGATGCTCAGATTAACTAAAACGAGACAGGTAATGGCAGCCAAAGCCAAGAGAGCTGGGGAATGGAGTGGCTGGTTGCCAGCTGTTGGAACTAGTTCTTAACTGCATTTTATGTTTGTCCATCCACCTTCTTTTTAATTTCTGTTGCATAACTCAGTAATGCAATATTGTTTTCCTCACCACTTCCAAAACCAGAATCCCATTAATCCGCCATGTTCATCCACTCTGCACTCCTTGGACACAAAGCTTTAACAATTGAACTGTATTCAGTGCATTTTAATATAAACTAAAAACACAATGCAAATGCAATACTTTTTAAAACATGGTATTTCAAAGTGTGTTATTGTATAGGGCTAAGTACTATCTCAGTATTTTGTGTCATTTCTGTATTCTGTGGGCTTTTCTTCACCTTAGCACCTTTGCACTAAGTTTTGTCACTGTAACCATTTGTAGAACTGCCATTGTTACAATTTGCACTTATCCAAATGGGGTTTTTTGTTGGTTTTGTTGGGTTTTTTTTTGGTTTTGTGGTTTTTTTGTTCGTTTGTGGCTTCCTTTCTTTTTTTTTTTTTTCTTTTTTTCCTGGTTTCATATAATGAAGGAAAAACTGGGAATAATGTCAAGGTACCACAGCTATTTAAAAGCTCTAGAAAACTGCTGTAAAATTGTTCTGGATTATTGTAACTGTTTCAATAATTGACATTTAAGGAAAAAAAAATTCCACCAATCTTTGTGTGAGAAAAATTGCCTGCACTGAAATGCTGTTCTATGCTGGTTGTACTCGAGTGGTATTTTTTTAATAGTGAGAAGATTTTTTTTCTTTTTTTTTCTTTTTTTTTTGCCTTTTTTTTTCCTTTTCTTTTCCTCGTTTTTGTTCCTACATTTTAGGCTGTCTTCAGAAGTTACTGGCCTGGGGGCTCTGTAATGTATCTCATCATGCCCTAGTGCATTAGCCACCAGACAGGACTTTTCCAAAGCCCCATGAGACAATGCTTTCTATGGACTAATCTACAGAGGAGTTTCTGCCATTTCTAATTTTCTTATTATT